AAGCTTCTTAATCATTCAACCTGTTTTTCATCAAATAAGGACAAGATATAATCTTATTTATTTATATATACTAAAATGACAAATGATTGGTTTTGGCTAGACTAGTTTGACTGAAATGTTCTATATAATCTGATGACTAAAAAAGACTCAACAGTTTTTATTGACAAAAAGTAGACTCAAATAATTAGTTTTCTTTGACTGAAGTAAGACTAAAATGCTCAGACTTTTAGTCGACTACAACTTGACTAAATAAAAACAGGATGAAGGTGACTAAATATGACTAAAACTAAAAAGGAAATGTAACACAGGACTAAGACTAAAACTAAATAAAAAAAATAGCTGACGAAATTTACACTAGTGTCAAGTTGTTTGTAGGGCTGCTCGATTATGGCAAAAATCATAATCTCGATTATTTGGGTCAATAATTGATATCACGATTATTAAAAACGATTTACTTTGAAAACATCCATTTATTGGAGATGCTTTTTTGAACAGTTGATAACTCTGAACTTTAAATATAACTCAACTGAAAAACCAATACAAAAATATGTAATTTGAAAAAATAAAGTAATAATAATAGTTTTATTTCGATTACGTTGTTTTCGTAATCGTTGCAAGCCGTAATTGCGATTAAAATATGATTTAATTGAGCAGCCCTACCTGTTCGTATGACACATAGAAGCAGAGGACATTCACCAGTGTGGTATTGACTGACATTTATGTCTGAGAACAAAATGTGAACATCTCTTCAGCTTGTTTTAACCATAGGCCTTATTTCAGGCTTCTAACTACAAACACGCTCCCAAAAAACACGTTGACTTCGATACAAGGGACCCCGAAGTGGTGAAATAGAGAACCGCAGTGACGCGGACCCGGAAGTATGTTAGCATTTTTACCACGTCCGGTTCCTTCGATAAAATGCAATTTCTCCATAGGGTTTTGGAAAATAGCTCCAGATAAGGTCTGTGTTTGACACAAATTGAAGAGACAGATCACGTTTTGTTCTACGACATTAAATCCATCAGCAGTGACCCCGCTGGTGATTCTTGAAGAGTTTACGTGTCTGAGAAACGATGGTTGTTCACAAGTGGCTGAATAGGACTACAGGAGTTGTCCAGGCCGTTGTACGTCATTACGCCGAACACGTAAACACTCCTAAGTTAGTTTGCCCTGTTCTGCTTGAAAGCAAGTACCTGCCTCCGGCAAACTGTTCAAACAAACACTTCAACTTCTACCATTTACAATCTGTAGTTTTGAATATGGATCTTAAGTTGGCGTGACGTTGAAGCAGCGACCCTGCTGTCGTTCCTTTATAGCATAACGTTAGCATTTTGCTTCTGGCGACTAGATAAATAAGTGTTTAAGAAACGGGATGAGGAGAGGTGAGAGTGAAGGCAGGAAGTGCTGCGCTGGAAGAGAGAGGTGAACACAAGGAGGTGTAAGGCTGTGAACAGGTGCTTAGCTTTCAAGATGAACTGAGGAGAAATCAAAGCGCGCTTTGTAACAAGTCCCAAGATTGGAGATAGCGATTTGTGAATAAAAAGGGTCTATTTGCATATTTCCGTCAAGGGGAAAATAATAAAATGTGTGTTTCTGTAATGCCTCCCTGCAGGACGTGGACGCTTCGGAGATCAAAGTGCAAGTGTGTGTGTACGCCTTTGACCTCCTCTATCTCAATGGAGAGGTAAGACCCTGATGAGGGAAATACACACACACACACACGCACACGCACACGCACACGCACACGCACACGCACACACACACAAAATAGCTCCTGTTGTCTTTTCTGTGCTGTCATTGTGTGTGAACGTGCCTGCATGCTCGTCACCCCGCTGAGATGCAGACGGCGTCCCTGAATGCCAATGATGGTGCTACTGGAGGCCGTAACTAGATAATGATTGTAACGCTCATTGTAATTCCAGCCGAGTGTGTCGGAGTGTGTGTGTGTCTGCCTTTCACTGTCTCAGAGTCTGCATGTGTGTGTGTGTGTGTGGTAATTGTGAATGGGTGTGAGATTGACATTGTGCCTGATTTCAACCAAATAATACACATTTCTAGGCAGATTCTCCATGTGAATAAAATGCAAATCAACACATGTCAGCCAGTGCTCTGTAAATGGCAACAACACAACTACAACATTAAAGAAATCACAAGCTATTCTTAACTTTTTGCCATTTCATTGATGCCTCCCACCTAAATGTGGCGTTTATGTAAATGTACCAAATTACTCTGTCTCTGTATGCACATACTTTTTTTGGCTGTTGCCCTTTTTCAGTCATTTATTTATATATTTTTGATTGATTATCTCTCTTTCCTTCACATTTTCAGTGTCACATTCCCTGTGCACTGCAGCCTTTTGCCACTGCTGATAGGGTTATTGGCCAAGTGGAAGAGCACTTTATGTTTCCCTCCTGAACCCTCAGTGCAACCATTAGACGCTGCTAGCAGGACTTCCTCCACCGCTGAGGACTCCAAGGTCACGTCCTTGGTACTTTTATTTATCCAGTTTCCAGACCAGAGCAGTCAGTTTGAAGGCTAAAAGAAACAATTGGGGATAGTGTCCGTGTAGGTAAACAGAAACCACCTTAGCATTAAGGAAACACACAGATAACCACACTTGTCAATATCTATTCCACATTTATTATTTATTAAGTGTGTCATTGTGGATACAACACTCCTATTTTCCAGCGTTAAGGCTTTTCATAGTGAGCTAGCATTGAGCAACTAGCAACATTTCCCTCAGGAGTTAGAAGAGACCAAACAGCTCTGTATTTGATGGCTGTGTTTTGACTTATTATATTACCTGTGTGACTCGTTTCCAGAAACCTATTAATGCAGTTTGAAATGCAAAAAGAGTGCAGTAAAGAGTTTCTTGTAGACATGTAGGTGCTTTTCCATTTGGCCAAGTGTTAATTAGTGGATTTTGTTTCCATAACTGTCATATATATTTATTTGTTATGTGCACATTTTCAAAATACCCCCAAACCTCCCGTAGGTGGTTGGAACCTTCGTGATCTCTGTGTTTTCTGCTGGTTTGAGACTTGTTTGTGAGTGGGTGTTTTAAAATGTGTCCAATTCTGCCGTGACTGTATCTGTGAGTATACTCTGAGTCTGTGTGTGTGTGTGTGTGTGTGTGCGCGTGTGTGTGGGAAGCTAGTTGAGATGGCATTTCATCCTAGTCATTGCAAGGCTCCGAGCTATGAAGAGGAAATGGTTGTAATGATAAACAGTTTTGCCATTTGTAATGTGTCTGTTTCTCTCTCTCTCTCTCTCTCTCTCTCTCTCTCTCTCTCTCGGTGTGTGTGTAGTCCCTGGTGCGGCAGCCGCTGGGTCGGCGTCGGGCTTTGCTGAGGGAAAGCTTCTCGGAGGTGGAGGGAGAGTTTGTGTTCGCCCGATACATCGACTCCGACAACACCGACTCCATCGCAGAGTTCCTGGAGCAGTCTGTCCGAGGTGTGTGTGTTCATGATTGTGTGTTAGATATGGACACACTTTCTTATTTGTCTTACTTCCCACTATCCCTGTGTGTATTAAAGCTTTTTATTTGTGGGTGTTTTTGGTGCAGGTTTCATTTCATTTGTGGCCTTGCCTGCTGCTTTCATGTGTAAATTCTCTACGAGTTGTTTGTGTGTGTGTGTGTGTGTGTGTGTGTGTGTGCATTTGTAGTTGTTTACTTATTTCCCTGCCTGTTGTCTCTTTGTTGGTTGCATTGTTGTGTGTTTGCCTCAGTGTGTCTGTGTGTGTTTTGCAACAGAGACCAAACCTGTGAGTTGTGTAATTGGGTTTTCCTGTATTTTAAAACATGCATATGTGTGTGTGTTATATATGCCAGTGACTTTGCCTACTTCTCTTTGTGTCCTCACTTCCTGTGTGTACGTGCTTGTGTGTGTGCGTCTCAGAGGGAGACAAAGACCTTCCATATATCTCAAAGATAATCTGTTAATTTCCTTTCTGCACAACTAGGATTGTGTTTTGGTGTACTAATGTGTGTGTGTGTGTGTGTGTGTAGACTCCTGCGAGGGTCTAATGGTGAAGACTCTGGAGAAGGATGCTACCTATGAAATCGCTAAGCGCTCTCACAACTGGCTCAAGGTGCGTGTGACATAATAGTAACACATAAACTTGACATCACATGTTTTTTTATATAAAAGGAGTTATGACACAAAGTGATACGAGTGAGCTCCAATGTTTGCATCACTGACCATACAAAGGCCTTCATCTACTTCTCTGTGCCTATCAGAGGCGAACCGTCAGGGCCTTCAAGGTATTCAGAGAATACCCTGGAACACTCAGATAAAACCAACAAAAAATCGATGTAATTATATAAATTAAATGAGAATCATATCTGTGTTGTTGATCTGTAATATTACAGTGTTACGTTGATTTGTTTGTCCTTCTCGGACCATGCTCTACGCATTTCAGTAGAAAAGAAAGCAACCAATCAGATCTTGTTCTGGGTCTCTGGGTAGAATATCCTTCAACCAGGTATTCTACATCCTTGATAGGATGCCCTGGCCGTTGCACTGAATGAGAGCGTACGTTTGGACTGACAGCTTGATCAACCAATCATATATTGATTTGTAGCCAATGGGCGTGTTCTTTCAGAGTTCCCCTCGGTTCCAGGGTATTCTATTCTAGAAGGCCCGCTAGTTAACTGGCTCGAGACAGAGGATCTAGATGAATGCGACGAAGCAATTCATGCCGTTTTATTGTTTTTAACGTTGAAATGACAAGTGCAACAGGTGAAGAGGAAGTTGTTGCGGAATTGTTGTGAGTACCCTTTTCAAGACGACAATTCAGTGAAAAGACGGACATTATAATGCCGCGGCGGGGGGGGGGGGGTGTCTACAGAAGGTCCAGTTGTGATAGCCACGGTTCGCCACTGGTTTTTTCATTGGTTTTGAGGGCAATGCTTTACCCTTCATGCCTACTTGTCGCTCAACCAAATCTAGCAAAACAAAATGATGGCATAATTGACGAACGCCAAAGGAGGGAACATCTCGTAAGAAAACATACACCAAAGTGATGCCTTCCAACCTGCTTCCAACTGAAAATATGGCTTGCATAAAGAGTTTAATTAGAACTAAATTGTCAAGTGGGAGACAGGTTTATATTCGGCGTGAAGCGTTATCACATCCGTGGGAGGGGGCCGCGGGTGTGTCTACAGAAGGTCCAGTTGTGATGGACACGGTTCACCACTGGTGCAGCACACAACGTATAAAGTCTACCTTTTGTTCTTGTTTGTAACAATCATTGCACTTTCAAACACAAACCAATTTCATATTTCTGGGAACATTTTCAAGACCATTAGCTTGTCAACATTTATAAGCAGCAGTTGAGACGCCTGACAGTTCCAATTGTTTATAAATGACAGTTAATTGTGCTGCTGGCATTTCATTTATGCACGGAAGAGATGTACCTCTTAAGACTCGGAACAAATCCTGTTTTTTTTCAGCTGCCACTAAGCCCTATTTGCACGATGTGCTCATGAACCACACAGTAATATCTGACCCTCTCTCTCCCCCAGCTGAAGAAGGACTACCTGGACGGGGTGGGGGACACGATGGATCTGTGTGTGATCGGCGCCTACCTGGGAAAAGGCAAGAGGGCGGGCGCCTATGGGGGCTTCCTGCTGGCCTGCTACGATGAGGAGAACGAGGAGTTTCAGTCTGTGTGCAAGGTGTGTGTGTGTCATCACATTTAGCTGATGCTTTTATCCAAAACCACTTACACACACATCAATGCGGTAGACATGGCTACAGGAGCAATTTGGGATAGAGTATTGTCGTGGATCCGAAATCTTAACACTCAGGAATAGAATAAAGAATAACACAAAGGAAACATTAAAACACATGTGGTTGAGTTTAAATGTTATCTTGCTGTATAAGGAACAGATTACCTTGCATCAAGTTAGTCAAGAGTACATGTCCAACGATGAGAAGAATCACACACATTTGATTCACCTCTTTTTGGTTTACACACTATACCTTTAGACCTTTCACAATCACGTTACAAAACCCTATGCTCAATAAAACGTTGCAAACAGACAGTCATGGTACAAAGGTCTTATTTAATCAAACTGAAGGATGGACAAACTAACATAGCTTGCAAACCATGACCGTATAATATTAATGCTGTCAAAATTATCGCGTTAACGGCGGTAATACATTTTTTTTAATTAATTGCGTTAAAATGTAACGCATTTAACGCATGTGCAGAATGGCTCGCCCCATACATCCCACCAGTGGCAGCGCCAGGGTATGGCTGGGGTAGGCTACACCCATACCAAGAAATGGCTTAGCCCCACCATGAAAAATGATGTTAAAGTAAGCTAAATAAAGTCTGCCAACTCGCGCGGAGTAAATTGCACAGACAGCAAGGCAAGGCAAGTTTATTTATATAGCACTTTTCAACACAAGGCTATTCAAAGTGCTTTACAAAAATGAAAGAGATTAAGAAAATGGCATTTAAAATCAGTCATTAAAAAGAAAAGCTAATAAAATAAACATTAAAAGAAAAAGTACATGGATAAAAGTTACAGTGCAGTCTAAGATATGAATAGTTCAATTAAAAGCAGCGACAAAAAGAAAAGTCTTCAGTTAGTCAGATTGATTTCAGTAGCCACTTGTCTGGAAATACCGAAGACTAGAAACGGTTTTGAAAACTTTTGTCACGTAGTGATCGTCTTCTCAATAGAACATCTTTGATAATGTCTTCTGGCCAATCAGAATCAAGATAACGGCGTTGTGTTGTTGCAGGAAGTCCCAACGGAGAATACTTTTGCTGTAGTACATCTCTATATACATCGATGCAACATTACGTGTTGATAGAAATCAACACGTAATGAAATAAGACCCCACGGTTTGATGATTGATAGGTGTGTGGGCTGTCTTTCATTTCGACACACAGAACAATGTTACAATAAACATACTGTCTGTTAAATGGATATATCCGCCTTCTTTCATTTATCTTTCCATTCCCAACAATATACATAAAGAAATGGCATATTTTGGACATAGTTCGAATGGTGATTAATCTGATTAATACATTTTCAAGCTGTGATTAATCTGATTACATTTGTAATCGTTTGACAGCCCTAATTTAAATATATATTATTTCTACAGTTGCCCAAAGAAAAGATGGACGCGACATGATGACTGCAGGGTGTTTTTATTTGTCGTCTTGTTCTTTCACTCTTCAAATCTGAGCCTGAGCAACATCTGTGTGTGAAGGCGTGACTAGGTGCATCTTAGGATAGGTTGTAAGCGTGTATTTGAGCATGCGTGACCACTTGTGTGCATTTGCCTGAAGGTGTGTACTTTATATAATAAGAGCGTGAATAATCTGACTTCCCCACAGAGCATCAATTCTGTCTCTTCCCCGTCTTGCAAAAAGCTCCCATCTCTATTTTTTCTTTCCCGTCTGTAACTTTTATGTCTTTATCCATGGAAATGGGATTTAGTGAGCAGCGTGAACACACTCCCAGCGCCGCCCGCCTCACTTTCATGTACTTACACACGTTCACACCTGGGAGCTGGCTGTTAGACCGCAGCGTGCGCCGCCGGCCTCCGAGCACTTCCACTGGAGCCGATGAAGGCTAAAGCGCCCGTTAGATTACCGAGTTAGTGCTTCACTCGGTGGTGGGGTTTCTCTTCCGTTTGCTCTACTTCTCCTATAAATAAAATCTGATTGGAGATGTTTTCACAGTTCAGGTGACCGCCCTGGATAAGTGAGGATAGGTGCTGCAGAAAGATGTGGAAAGTGTCAGAAGAATTGTCTGTTATTGATTTTCATATTATTCTTATTTTTGCTTGGATAGCTGCTAGCTCTAGTTTTCTACATTGTCATAATTTCAACTTTAAACAAATGCTGACTGAGCTACACAATAAGAGTACCTGTCAGTCATTATAACCCGGTGCATCCAATAACATCAGCTTTTATTAGCGCCGTTATTCACGATTTCAGCTTCAATCTTTTCCACATTAAGATAAAGTCACATTTTCGTCTGTGAGGTGTCCCGACTGGCATCCCGATCTAATCTCATTTACGTTTTCTTGATATCTTGGCAGTTGTGCTTTTATTAAAGTCTTATTGGTGCATCACATTCTCCATTCTCAGCATTTTGTTTATATTTAAAGTACACATAGGCCCACAGTCTTCAAAAACAAGAGCTAAAGTCAGTTTATGTTCTTAACACATGGAGCCCACAGTCCCTGCTACTTTTTCCTCTCACTTCTCAATGTCAGACATTAAACCAAAAGCAATAATCTCGTTGTCCTTGACACGATAAACTTCAGAAACCTTCAGTTTGAGAGGCTCCACTATAGCTCAGAGCCCAACGCATTTCCATTTCCCAAAAGTAATCTTGGCTATATGTGTAGGTGAAACGTCCTTGAGCGAGTCCTCAGCAGATCCAGGAGCAGCAATACTGCAGCTCTGAAGTTCACTCAAACTCAGAGGAAATAAGTTGTAATAAAACGAAAAAGCCAATTAGGTTACAGTCGGTTATGTTTGACACTCCACTTTATACAGGTGACTGTTGAATTCAGTTTGTTTGGGGATCCCTGGTGTAATACAAATCACATAAATTCCAAGTGGCTCCCTCATTGGATATTTGTCTGTTATTGGTACTGACATCCTACTTTATTAAAGACAGTGGAAGGGCCGAAACATCAGATTCAATCTTATTCACCACAGCTCAACGTAATGAATGTCTTATTGCTATTTCCCGTGTTTTAATATCTCCCATGTACATCAAGACTGATATTTTTATGCCACGTTATCCCAGCATGAGTATTGGCTATTGTGTCAACAGCAATCTCAGTAAATGGGTACGTCTCCGCTGAGCCCGGTGTGAAGCCTCAGAACAAACCTCACAGATCGCTGCCTTCGGGCGGGAATAACTCGGAGCAACAGCCTCGTGTGATTGTTTCTTTCAAAGAGGAAAAATCAAGAAGCACAAACCTGTTTGAGAGACTCTGCTTTATGTGCAATGTCTGTAGGGCTGATTCAATAGAACAGTTTATTATATCGTGATATTGATAGGTACTCGTCCAGGGTTCGGGACGAATCCCGATGGGCCGGTACTGAAGTGGGCCGGTCGGACGATGTGGACCGGACGGCTAAGTCACTAGCACCCCGTCCGTCCGTCCGTCCGTCCGTCCCCCCCGTCGACAATTTACTAGCAGTATTAACTAGCGGTACCGACGTGGGCTAGCAGTACCGAAGTGGGCCGGCGGTACCGAAGTGGGCCGGTCGAGATTCCCGGGCAGATTTTTTTAGTCCCAGTCCGCCCCTGTCTCTGACGCATTAAAATCTAAAAGGAAACATTAAACCCACCATCACATCTAACCATCTAACATTACACACAAGTTATACCCTCAAGAATTTGTCAGAGAAACGCATTTTATTGGAGACCCATTGCATTTCCCTGGGGCACAATCAAATAAACATCCACATCAACATCCCTGTTGATAAAGCCATATGCCGAGATATGGTATTATCACATCTAAATGAAGCACATCTGGAGTCAGGGTCCGCGGGGTCTTAAAAAGTATTAAAAGTTGATAAATCAATTTAGCGAAAATTAAGCTACTTTAAAGTATTAAACGGCATTTTCCAAGGTTTTACATTTTGTATCTTGTTTTCAATAAGTATATAAATGGTCCAAAGAGGTTGTATTCTACAGTCTGCCTGAATGTAATCATTGCGTAGGTGTGTAGTGTGATTCTGTGTAGTTTATTGATGGCATCCCGTTGGATTTGACGTCATCTGAACAGGACATCGCACGCTCACTGCTTGATAGCGTGCAAAGGTCCGTTTACGCCGGTTGTTAAACAACATCGTTATGGGGAAATGCAAGTTTGCGTCCAAATGGTTGGAAGATAAGGAGGAAGGACAATCAATACTGTATATAGTCAATGTGAGGTGAAGTGTGTCGCCAAGGTAACCGGTTAGAACTCCAAGTGGCGATGAGGTCTTAAAATGTATGGGAAGGGTCTTAAAAAAGGTCTTAAAAGGTATTACATCTGACTTCAGGGTTCCTGCTTATACCCTGGGAATATACTAAAATGTTCCATCAAATCTGATCGTTTTGACACATCGTTGTTGGACATATGCATTATTTTTCACTACAATTTCACTTGACTCGAACAGAAATACCAGAATAGGCTTAACCATGTGGGTTCTTATATAGAGTAGTCATTTATTGAATAACATTAAAACTAAAATGGTATATTAATACAAATATATCGTTATGAGATATACAATGATGACCTATATCTGGATAGAAGCTTGTGACCACATCGCCCATCCTTTAAATGTCAACAGTTAAGCCTAAGCTGGATAACAAAGACTTGTTGCTAACAGCAGTTCATATGTTAAAGTGAATTACCCAGCACTACAGCGAAAAAACATTTCGAACACATCCCAAAATGTGAGAATCGCGCCACAGTTAGCTTAGGACTCTGCCCAGCAAGAGATTTGAAACCGAACACGTAAAGGTGCCACAGTCGAATGAAACGGCAGCCGGAAGAACATAAAGCTTCAGGTTCAGAACACACCTTTTAGAATTCATCTATGTGCTGGAAAAATGCTTTATTTGCACGATACACCTTCCTCTTTTCTCCCTGTGTGTGTGTGTGTGTGTGTGTGTGTGTGTGTGTGTGTGTGTGTGTGTGTGTGTGTGTGTGTGTGTGTGTGTGTGTGTGTGTGTGTGTGTGTTGTGTGTGTGTGTGTGTGTGTTGTGGTGTGTGTGTGTGTGATGTGTGTGTGTGTGTGTGTGTGTGTGTGTGTGTGTGTTGTGTGTTGTGTGTGTGTGTGTGTGTGTGTGTGTGTGTGTGTGTGTGTGTGTGTTGTGTGTGTGTGTGCTGTGTGTGTGTGTGTGTGTGTGTGTCACCATCAGGGAATTTATATGTATGCGTGTCTTATCTCTTTCCAGATCGGGACAGGCTTCAAAGATGAGGATCTGGAGCAGCATTTCAATTTCTTAAAGGTAACGTGACTGTCACACTTACTAGTTCGGTAGAAAAAAATCACAACTTGACGCTTGTTTTCTCACATGAATGCCTTCCTTTTAAAGGAAAAAGTCATAACCAGGGTTTTTCAACATTCTCCAGCTACTCAATTTCCTCCTTGTTCAAACAGTCAGTTTTGAGGTTAAAAGCAGCAGAATGAGTGTGTGAGATTGGTCTTTGGAGCCCTTTCAATCTACATATAATCTTCCCCTCATTCATTTCTTCCTTTATTCCAACTTTTCAGATACAAATGGATACCAAAATGAGTGCATATATACTTGCATCATGCATTCATTTAAGCAACCTCTCAGGTATGACAGAGAACTGTCCACATAGTTTCTTCTAAACTGAACGTGACACATATTCTATAAAAGGAAAATATATATAATGAAGAATTTGGCTTTAAAACATGTATCTGCGTGCATTTGGAGTAAGTGTGCAGGCGTGCTGTGACATGAGGTAATGAATTGCTTTTTCAATTTACATTTGAAGAGGCTTGTTCCGGAGCAGCAGAGCAGCATTCGGAGAAATTGACGACTGCTCTGAAAGTGATAGCTGTTGTGAGTCAGAATACATTGGAGTAGTCGTGTTGACGTTATCAGCTAAGTGTAGACACGCGTTTACATAAATCCACTTAAGAAAGCAGTCATCTGTTCAAGAAAGACAGTAATTGTGAGATAATATTCACTGTACAAACCTGCCACACACTGGTGTTTTCAGAGTGTGAATGTTAACGCTTTGTAACACATTACCAAGTTTGACCCCATCTTCCTCCCGTAATTCAAGTACAGATGTTGACCATGGATTTCTTTGCTGTGAAAAAGCAAAGAAAGCTCAGAAATCAGCACAAGCTACATGTTGTGCATTGACTGGAGACCACTAGACATCAGTATACAGACCAGGGTTTCCGTTAGCCGGTAATTACCGGTTTTTAGCTGGTAAAATGTAATAAAAACTGGTAAATTCAAAACCTGCCGGTCAAAATGTCCGATGCTCCGATCGATTGGCCGCCGATCATTATCGGCCGATATTCACTCTTAATAGTTTGATCTGTGCTCTCTATAAAGGCCGATCAGGAGAGCTGGATCTGATCGATAAACGCGAGTGAAGTGTAACCGGACGCGAGAGATCAGATCAGCTGCTGCATAATCACCTGAAGCCCCGCCTCTGTTTAGCGAACTGACCGGCTGTCAGGAGAGAGAGGGAGGGAGAGAGGAAAAGAGAGGATCAGTTTCTCCCGTGTTATTATTCAAAGTTAATGTAAACTTTTGAATAATGTACTTCATCTACTACAAGTAGTTTGTTTGAATGTAATAATTATGTTGTTTGTTACGATTATAAACTGAAGCAATATAAAAATGACTCCCATTAACTGAGCATATCCAGTCCTAGTCCGGTGATTACCTGCTAACGGAAACTCTGCTACACCATTCTTATTATTATTATTGAAACATGATAACAGTAAGTTTCAAATTTGTCCGGTAAAATAAATTCTGTCCGGACATTTGACCGGCGAGAAAAGATCCTAGCGGAAACCCTGATACAGACATAGCTGTTATACATGTTCTGCACTCATTAGCTTTTAAGTACAAATGTAGCCAGTTTCTTGAAGTTGCACAGGAGTCAGAAAAGGACATGGTCTCCACTTTAGGAATGGAGAGTGTTCGCACTATGATAGCGACAGAGAGAATATGCCCTGGGTAGTGCACATTATACAGAGGGGAATGACAGCATATATATACTACCATATGAGCTAATGGGTAGCGCACATTATACAGACGGGGATCACAATATGAATACTACCATATGAGCTAATGGGTAGCGCACATTATACAGAGGGGAATGACAGCATATATATACTACCATATGAGCTAATGGGTAGCGCACATTATACAGAGGGGAATGACAGCATATATATACTACCATATGAGCTAATGGGTAGCGCACATTATACAGAGGGGAATGACAGCAGAAAAGCGGCTTTGTCGATGCTTTAGCTAAGTATCTGAATATTGTCAGACATGCCGACAATTCAGAAATCCTCAAAACTAAGATGAGATGGTAGAAGAAACGAAAAGACCCTCAGATTTCTCTTACCCGTTTGCAATGTATTTCTTTCTCCACGTGTATTTGTTTTAGCAATCCCCCAAAATGCTATTTCAATCATGATTTATTACAGATTATTATTCTAATCACCACAATTACATATGTGTAATCAATTGTCACCACTAGAACATTCACCTTACAAACTGCTGCACTTTGGAGTTTTCGGAGTAACAATAAAACCCTTGAAGTAATATTGTAAAGGTTAAGGGTTTGGACTCAGTGGTACAAACTGCTGCACACAGTGAAACAGTGATTGAGAAGGTGGTGTAAGCTTTTTTCTTTCTGGCGGACCAATACAGCCGGCACTGTAGAGCTTTGTAATGAGGCCCTCCATGTGAAGGTGATGGATGGTGAATTAAGGCGAGCTGCTGCTGTGTTGCTGCTGAGCTGCAAGGAGTCCAGACTCACAGAAGATTGGAGAGTTCACACTCCTCTGGGTGGCGAGCTGCTGTAACCTGGGGAGCAATGATCGCTTTATTTCCTTTCTGAGCCCACGGTCTGATCATATAACTGGTTGATTTTAGATTGTTCAGAATAGGGCTGGACGATATAAAGAAAATCATATATCACAATATCATTCACTTCGATCTAGTGGAAAAAATCACTAATTGAGATTATTTGACAGATATTTAATTTGCGATAGGATTCGCCATATATGAGGGTGTGATGTTTTTTTAAAGCAAGATTTATTTCCAGTCTGTGATCTACTATTAGTAGGCTAGAGCGTCAAAGAAACACCACTATTTTTTCCCATGTGTTGCATTGACAAAATCTTGGCTATTGGGCAGGTGCAAATTGCGATTTTGAAAGAAATCTGATTAATTGTGCAGCCCTAGTGGGGTTGACCATTGTTGGCACTTTGAGAAGCACTGCTCTAGTCCCTTGACTACAGAGGTCATCATGAGGTGAAAATAATTGGCCTTTTTCACAAAAATACTGGCTCTAACGGCCCGTCCACACTCCAGCTTCAAAAAAAGCTTGGAGCTGGGCGTGTCTGAAGCTCGACCAACAACCAATCACATGAATCTCCCGCCCCTGACACACAAGCAGCGGTTTGATTGGCTAGAGCTTGTACTGGCATATGATTTGATTGGCTGACGCTTCCACCGAAAGCTTCAGAAGCTTCAAAAGTTGAACATTGCTCAACTTTTGCAGCCAGGAAAGCTCCGCTCTGCTTCCCACAATGCAGTTCGGCGAAAAGTGACGTCACCCCATTCAAAGTGAATGGTCAGAGGCGTCGGAAACCGTTTTTGAAGCTGTCGAAGCTGTAGTGTGGACGGGCCGTCACAGAACAGCTAGAACGGTTTGGTTCAGGAAGAAAAACACTTTTTTGTAAATCAACTGGAAAAGATGACACCAACAATATTACAATATCAAAAATGTCATATCTCGTCTCCTATCAGGATATCAAAGTCATATTCATAGATTTCCTAGACTTGGACATCTTTCCTATTGGATTTGATAACAATTTATTCACCATGTTCATAACCGAGACCTGAGAATGGGTCAGCGTTGCTACATCAAAGACACAATGCAGAACTATAACCACTTTACATCCCACTTGATACAGCAGCACAATAACAGCCATGTTGTGTCCCACCACTCTGCTGCTCTTCTCCAACCAAAATAAAGTGTTCATTCATTCATTATTTCTCCGTTGAGTGCTGTGGAGCTACTGTCAGTGACAGCCAGCACTTCCTGCACATATGTTTCACATTTAACGTCTCAAAGAAGCGGGATTATACCCTGTGAGCTGTTTACCTCAGACTCTTATAGGAGAATATATGGTAAGACCCAAGTTAAAGTGAGCACTTGCTTGACTTAAGCGGCCACTGAGAGCTACTGAGGGATTTGCTTTTGATCTTATACAATCTCCAGTTTTCCAACTTAACAAGAAGTCCACCTTTTTTTTTTTTAAGCTCGCCAGAAATACTGCATACTGTGCAAAAACTCTGTGTCCCCCGGCAACAGCACCTGTACTCAATTATAAATAGAAGTCTTTTTTTATACTGTATGTCCTCAAGATGGATGCTACACCCAGGGAGGTGTGAAGAAATGTGCTTATAACTGAGACCGCTCCTATACATTATGTCTAATTATAATAAACATTTGTAATTTTTTTTTAGAGGCCCTGTCATGCTTTTAGGGGTTTTCCCTTTCCTGTCGTTTGCTCTATAGGTTTTTGTGCATGTAAATGGTCTGCAAAGGCTAAAATCCCCAAGTTCCTTCCCTGATACACCTCCAATGGACTTTTGTTTACTTCTTTAACACAATGACATCACTGTTTAACGCTTGCACTTCTATTGGCTAGCGCTCCATCACATTGTACGTGATAGGCTAAGGGGCGGGACATCTCTAAGCGGTTGACCAATCACAACAGAGCCGGCCAGCTAACCAATCAGAGTAGACTAAGCTCTGGTTTCAGACATTTGTAACCCAGTATTTCCCTGCAGCTCCACAATACTTAATTCAAAATTGTATTTGAACACATATTTAGCCTTTGCGAAACATCCTCCAATTTGAATATTGCACAAGAGAATTCTGCGATTTCAATAAATTGTGTTGCCCTAATAACGATAACCTGTAAAAGATTTCATGTGGATCAGGAGTGGGATAAAGTATATATCTGGAGCGCTAACTCGACGAGCAGAGATGTTTTATAAGACCCTACACGCCTACCAGCTCACTCATTGTAATTCACTCTTTATAAGAGAGTCACTTGAATGCCCACAGTATAAATAATATGTGAGAGAAAAGCAGCACGACTGCCGGAGCCTCCTTTCCCCGGCATTACTTAAATATGACCCAGTTCTGTGGACTCTGCAGCACTGGAGTTATCATTAATCTGTTCCCAGAGCCACATTGTTTTTATGCCAAAAGCAAGATAGGTGTCATTTTGCAAAAGTGTGACACCTACGCTGACAGAATGATTGCTTGTGTCAAAGTTAAAAAGACACTATTAAATATTGTAGAATTTGACGGTTTGCTCGCAGAACGGAAACGCTTTGTTGGAAGCGGAGGCCTGAACTCAGCTGCTAGTTTATTGAAGTTTTTTTTATTTCATTGAAGAGGTTACTATCAGGTATCAGAAAAATGTGCATATCAAGGTGTTTCTGAATGAAATGTTTCATGTAGGTGTATGATGATGTGGTTTGGAAACACCCTCTCATGTTGGCCCTCAGGCAGCAGGTATCATTTAGATATGAGTGTTCAGAGCGCTGCCTCTCGAGATGGATGGGAGGCAGCGGCAGACTCAGCAGAGCAACCACAGCTCCTCTGTATCACTTTCTTTGTGAATGCATTTCACTTTGGTCTTTAGCTCATAGACGTCTGTATCTATGTACAGTTTATATACAGAAGTATGTTAATATCTCAAAAGGCGAAGACTACCTTGGGATTGTTTCGTTGACAAAAACGATGATGAAATATGTCCATCACCGCCCTCAATTGGACTCCTTTGGTTACTTCTGCGACATACACTCAAACTGAAAGATTGACAATAAAGTTGACTTTGACTTTTGATATTGACATCACTACTAGCGCGTCGATTGGCTAGCGTTCGAACACAGTGTACGTGATATAACATTAGCATAATAGGGCCTCTTTAAATCAAAAATATGTCTGAATAAAATGATCCTGTTTGACTTAAATCTTTGATATATTCAGATGACGAAACTAAAACTAGACTATTTTCTTTAAAGATAAAACTATAATGAACAGACTTTGCGTCAACTAAAACGTTCCTTCACCACTGAATTCAAACTGAATAAGGTTGATTTAATATAATATAAACTTAGAAGGACTTTTGACAATAACAAAATGTAAAGAAACTCAGCTGACATCAACACTGGGGTTAACTGCTTCAGCATATTTGAATAAAATGTGTTTTATTCCATCTCCTGAGGTCCTTGGTACTGAGATAAGAATGTGCAAGATTCAAAGGCTTTATTGTCACATGCACAACACCTACAGGGTCGTCTGGCAATGACTTAGGCTCCTCCAACAAAATACAAAATACTTAACACAGACAAGTCGTGCAAGATAAAATAGAAAAATATTATTCAGATGCTGGTTCCTGAAGTGAGAACAGAACTAGGCAAACAAGCTTTTAAATATGCTGCCCCTTCTGCCTGGAATCATGTACAGAAGGAGGCGGAGCTGAAACTGTCAGATTGTATCACTCTGGGCCAGGGGTCTGCAACCTTTTTGCCCAAAAGAGCCATTTTGCTCCTTTTTCCAAAAAAAACGTTTTGTCTGGAGCCGCAAAACATATTTCATAGTCACAGTGTTTTTGCATTTATTAGGCTATTTATTACATGATATAAAACTGTTAACCTCTAATAAGAAACAAAGAACTCTTATAAGGAGAATTAAAAATAATACACAGGCCTACTTTAAAATAAATTAAACACAGCACTTGGGGAGTCCTCTGCACATTTGAAGGAAAAAAAAATATTATTAAAATGGGCCCACTTTGAAATAAATAAAACATATAGCTGCACCCTAAAAAGAGTTAAAGGTAGGGTAGGTAAGGATGGAGAAACCAGCTCGAGTGCGCTAGAATTTGAAAGTACACAACCGGAAAAAATATTCCTTCAGACTTCCTTACAGAGCCCCTCCTCCAACACACATGAACGCGCACATGACCAATGAGGGCACGAGATAAGTGTGTGCACAGATGGAAGGCTGACAGGCAGGTAGATCATCCAGTTACTTTAGCCGGGCCGGCTCAGATGATTGGTCGTGCTTTTTACAGCGCTACGGCTTCCAGAGATTAATTTTTGTATGGATTTATTGTCAAAGCATTTAATATATTCATTGCTATCGGGATGTTAAGAGCATTCCATGGAATATAACAAAAAGTGTTTTTGAAATAAATTACATACCCCATTGAATTATGACTGAAGATCGTCAGCTGTCTTCCTCTCCCGTGTTGTTCCTCGATACGTAAAGGCTGCACCACCGTTGACAACTTCTCTACATATCAAACATACCGGTAAACCAGCATCGTTTGCTGTGAAAGCATATAACTGTCCACACAGAATTAAAAGTTAAAATTAAAGTTCCTCTGGTACTTTTCTCTGATTTATCCATAGTTCGCTCATCGAGCCGGGGTCAGGTTATTCGCCTCCAGGAAAAGGCGCTCGCGCGGGACCGTAGCAGGATGTGACGCATATTTTAGTTGACCTAATTAAAACCGTTTTGTTTTTTATTTTTGTGTCACAGTATCACCTCAAAATACAAGATACGAAACATTTTCAACCGTGCAACAAAATATAAATAGTCCTACAAATACTTTTATTTTATTTCCTTCTTATTTTTGTCTAAGCTCAAGGGAGCCAGAGCAGAGGGCTTAAAGGGCCGCATGCGTCCCGTGGGCCGCGGGTTGCCGACCCCTGCTCTGGGGGAATTCAAGTCCATCTTAAAGGACAGAGAACAAGAAACCATTGGTCAATGTGATTGCTCTTATATCCCAAAATTGAAGTCGTTTTAAAATTGTGCCAGTTTTTAATGTTTTATAACAGTTTCTTTTATTTGCATATTGACTTGTAATGTGCCATTTCATTTGTGTTTTACAGCTGTATTCGTCTGCCTGTATTGTTTTGTGTTCATTTGTTGTAACATTGTTCATGCTGCCCTCTTGGCCTGGTCGCTCTTGAAAAAAGGTTTTAATCTCAATGAGACTTTTACCTGGTTACATAAAGGATATATATAAGTTAACACTTAATATTTAAAGGTCACCTATTATGGAAAATCCACTTTGTCATGTCTTTTATTCATCAACACGTGTCCCCTCTGTGTGAGAGATTCTGAAAGTTTCAGGTAAAAAGATTCTCTCTCTTTTTGTCCTGATCCATTTCTATAAAAACCTGTCTGAAAATGAGCTGATCAGATTTCGGCCACTTTATGATGTCATAACGATTTTTTGGCTTGTGTAACCATTAGCCAATCAGCAACCAAGGTAACCCCCCCCCCCCCCCCCCCCCCCCCCCCCCCCCCCTTATCACCTGAATCTCCTCCTAGAGCACCATTGTGTTCTTTGTAACCAAATATCTCTCAGAGGGGCGTGGGGAGGGGCTCCTTATTTTCATCTAAAGTAACAGACAGAGAATCAGCACTTTTGAAACAGGGCTGAAACAGAGGGGATTATGGGTAATGCTGCAATGATCTGTTTGGTGTTTGGAGCCAAACACTTCAGAGACATGTGTTGTAAATATCTGAGACCCATAATATATGCCTAAAAATACCATAGTAGGAGACCTTTAATGTCTATTCTCTATTCTCTAGGAGCACATTCTGCCTAAGCCCCGCCCCTACTACCGTGTGGACCAATCAGCAGAGCCCGAGGTGTGGCTGGATGCCATGCAGGTCTGGGAGGTGAAGTGTGCCGACCTATCGCTGTCTCCCGTCTACAAAGCTGCCATGGGGATGGTCAGTACAGCCCGTTAATCTCCCCAATGTGTTTCCCCTGATAAACCCGGCATGTTATGGTCTGTTGACAACAATGAAAAGTCACAATTAGCGGCTCTTAATTGAGTTATTAAAAAATGTTGTAAAAGATGCCGGATTTAATGGCACAGATACTTGTTTATCACCCGTTGTGTAGCCGCATGTCTGACTCAGTCCCACAGTGCACATAAAGGGTTTGCTATAAAGTTTACAGTGTTCAAGTCCTGAAGAAAAAAAGGCCCCGAGATAGATGTCCGTCTGCAAACATTTGTAAGAGGAAAAACAAGAGTATTGCATATTTTACTGGATTTCTTTATTTAAAAAAACATATTTAGTGTCTATGAACATACTTTTTACTGCACATGAATTTGAGATAGCTGGATGAGTCATTGTAAACAAATGAGGCCATTTCAAAGAGGGTTAGTGGTTTCCATGCTTCACATATCGTCAACAACCAGGATAGTTTTGACAGGTGATTCGTGTCATTACTTTTTAACATCCTGTACATTGCACAGGGTTTTCCTATAGTTGGAACAAATCTAAACCCTAAATGTTATAGGTTATCTCAGCACTAACTGTTACTGAAACATCTCCACATCACAATGTTACTACAACTATTCTAAGATGTTAGTCTCTGCCGCTTTAATGAGGCTTAAACAGGTTAGTGTGAGTCAACATATGAAGTTAACAAATCAATTTGTGAACCGCTCTATCGAAATCAGTCGGAAGTCGCAACGGCTCATTTCAAAACAAACGTGGATTTGCGTAAAAAATAGTTTTTCGGGGTTCAGGTTTTTTGTTTGATTTTAAATAAACAAAGTCTTGGCTTTCAGAATATGACACTTTTATTTCCAAAATCACACGATAAATACATTTTTGAATCTTATAAAGGGAAGATGGCAGCTGTCACTCGCCACTCTGCTGTTCCGCAGCGCCGCCCCCCCTCCCTCCGCTGAAATTATGAATGTAAGGCGTATAGTAATCATAGATAACCGTTACAGTTTGTTTTCATCTGATTTCAAATAAACAAAGTCTTGGCTTTCAGAATATTAAACTTGTTTCGGCAAATTCAGATGATAAATACAGCTTTGAAGCTTTTAACGGCATAATTACAAGCGGAGAACGGAGTAACTTGACGTCACAGCAGGCACAACAACAGCCGGTGTTTCTCGTGAGTGTTTTCCGGGGAACAAACACAATACACACGTATATACACACACACACACATACATACACACACACACACACACACACACACACACACACATACACACACACACACACACTCGCGAGCTTCCCCCAGACCAGTAATCCAAATGAAAATATCTTCCCTCCGTAGTATTTTGATCATTTGCTAATAATACATCAGATCGATGGATTCCAGAGAAGAGGAAACTTTGAAGGCCTTTCTCTCAAAACGATGACTCGGTGACAGTCATTATATAATGTGACATATTGTGCTTAATATTTGGAGTACAAAAACAATCCTGATATCATTAGAACGCTAGGAATCTCCTCTTTCCAACAGTGTATATAACTCAAAATGTGTCTTCGGGTCAATGCGACTGATTTCGATGGAGCATTCAGCTTCGGCTTTGTTATTTTTTGGTTACGTGACTTTTCAAAGCGCACATTTGTAGCCAGTTTTCACTGATTAGTTTGATGAGCTCTCATTTTGGACATTTTCAGACTTCTAAAAAGTCCATAATGATATCATTATGTAAGTGATGCTCCAACACAATGTATATGATAAAATAAGGGGCGGGACATCTCTAAGCGGTTGGCCAATCCCAACAGAGCCAGCCAGCTAACCAATCAGAGCAGCCTGGGCTCTGGTTTCAGACAGAGGGCGAAAAGAGGTGCTGCAGCACAGGCAGTATGAGAACAATAAAGAGCTTTGTGAACATTAAAGCATGGAGACATGTCACAGTAGAGACACAGCATACAAATGAGCATAATAGCGCCCCTTTAATGTCTACATACATACATTTGGAAATCTTAAATGCGATGATTCACGTTCAACATTTTCTCCTATTGGTTTTCATAAAAAAAGAGAAAATTAGAGAATCATCAGGTAAAAAGAGAATTTCAGAGGAACATGAAGTAGGACAAAAGTGCAAAGAAGGGTTAAATAAAAATCCTTACATTCAAAAAGAAAGTAATTCAATCTTTGATGTTTTAAAACCTTGAAGTAGTTGAGATTTCATAGCTTTTTTTTGCCTGATGGTCAGAAAGATATTCAACACATCTAGGGGTCACCGTTTATAAGACAGTAAAAGCAACTAAAGGGCAAATGCTCACACGTCTGTTCACTGTAAACTCACTGTGACCCTCCCCCTCAGGTGGATCCAGTGAAGGGCATTTCTCTGAGGTTCCCCCGCTTCCTTCGGATCAGAGATGACAAAAAGCCTGAGGACGCCACGACTGGAGCTCAGGTACATCACCGAACATCACATCACCGACACTCAGATCACCGACACTCAGATCAGCCTAGTGAGAGGCTAAAAACAGGGGTGTGAAATCTGCGGTGGAGTCCTAATAATGTCTGGTTCACTTAGAGCAGGGGTGTCAAACTCAAGGCCCGGGGGCCAAATCTGGCCCGTGACTTCATTTTCTGTGGCCCCACAAGAGCTTGCAAAGAATATAATATGTTTATTACACGGTTACATGCCGATTTACAGAAGCACGTTGCCCATAAACTACATGTCCCACAATGCATCTCAAATTTGACTTTTTTTCTCAGAATTTGAAATGTTTTCTTCAAAATATGCCTTTTTTCTCAGAATTCGATTTTATTTTCAAAACGTTGCTTTTTTTTCAAAATGTTACCTTTTCCCCCAAATGTCACAGAATGCAGAATTTGGCTTTTCTTTTTAAATCATTTTGTGACATTCTCACCGAAGAGACTTGCAATTATTTGCCGTAGAGCTATTATTATTATGAAGTTATTACCCTATCTGATAATAATCCGAGGCAGTAATGTAATATAATACATCATTTTATATATATTAAATATTTATATAGTCTTAAAGTTACAACCGGCCCTTTGAGTGCAACCATAATTCCAATGTGGCCTGTGATGAAATTGAGTTTGACACCCCTGACTTAGAGCAAGGGTGTCCAAACTACGGCCCGGGGAACAAATGCGGCCTGTGGACCATTTTGCAAATTCAAAAAGTATAATGCAGTATGGCCCTCAAATGAAACTTGTGTCCGTCTTTTACTTCTTAAATATAGATGTAAACAGATATTACACAGTATTCATGTGTTAATAAGCCCACTTTTCAAATAAATTCAGTTGAAGGTGGGGTAGGTAAGTTTGAGAAACCGGCTCGAGATACACTTTTTGTTATATTCCATGGAATGCTCTTAACATCCCGATAGCAATGAATATCTGAAGAGCTTTGACAAAAAATCCATACAAAAATGTACCTGCCTGTCAGCCTTCCATCCGTGCACAAACTTATCTCGTGCCCTCATTGGTCATGTGCGCGTTTGTGTGTGTTGGAGGAGGGGCTCTGTAAGGAAGTGGCAGATTTGTTCCGGTTGTGTATTTTCAAATTCTAGCGCACTCGAGCTGGTTTCTCCAAAATGACCTACCCCACCTTTAATTAAAGCTGAAAACATTTTCTAACAAATCTAAGTTGATAAGAAAAAAGCTCAATAACTTATTTGTATAACAAGCTTGAAATAAACCCTTCCTATTTTTACATTGCATTTAGCTGACGCTTTTATCCAAAGCGACTTACAATAAGTATATTATTGTAATATTTCCTCTTATTATAATCAATCTGGAGCTTCTGTTTTAAGGAATGAGCTACCAACAAAATAATTGAAACCTATGGAGAGCTGTGATGTACGCTGATTAAGCATAATTTACTTACATTTGTTTTATTTTGCTGATTTATAACTTAACTTATGAGGCGATAAACCTCTAGTGAGTGGCCCAGCCCTTCGTATATTTTTCTGTATGTGTCCCTCGGGAAAAAAAGTCTGGACAACCCTGAGTTAGAGCATCACACCCCATCACAGGTCGACCTTGTGAAATATAATAATGACCGTTAACTGGTGGGGAATTTAATTTACTTTCTTTTTTTGGCCATGCTACTTTAAATCAGTGCATCAACGTCATCATGGCCACCTCACAAAGAGCTGTCCTGTAAACATTTCAAGCGTGAATAGCACTGCAAGGACGAGCTGCTGCTGCTTTTTGTACGCTGGCATTGATTCATGCACTGACAGTCAGGTAAAACGGCACCTCTGGAGTTTACTGTTGGAGTCTGGGTAATATATTCTGAGGGCACAAACACTGAATGATAGAGTAGAGATGAGCAGGCACCTGAAAACACGCTGACACCTTAAACTGTGATTCTACTCAAAATGTAGCTCAGAGTATGAATGGATGCTACATCTGTACAGTGACATCACGTTTTACCAGTGGTATAAATTACGTTTGAATTATTTAAGATGTTTTGCTTTTCTTGGTCGTTCCCGCTGACCCACGAGCACATCATTTATTTATACTTCGACCCAAACAACCTGACAATGCACTCATTGCTGTACGGTTGTGTAAAATGCAGAATACACACTCACTGGAGAAGCTGGGGACATTCAAGATCTCTGGACATTTCAAATAATGGGAACTCTAGTTTAAGGTTGTGCACACTAATATGTCAAGCAACACCATGTGACTTAAATGAACGTTTAGTCTGAGAGTTATTCTCATTTAGTAATCGTGTCAGCTATAAATAGTGTTTGAAAATGTTTAGGTCTAAACATTTAAATGCTTGTTATCAGGCACGTGCGAAGTCTGTCAGAGTTGGGGGTGGGGTGCTAGTGGAGTGGGGTGCTAGTGGAGCCTCGCAGCGGCGTAACTGTAGCTTACACTATAGGTGTGCCGCGTTTGGGGGTGCGGGTGCTAGTGGAGCCTCGCAGGTGGGGGTGCTGCAGCCCCCTCAGCACCCCCCCTTCCTGCGTCCCTGCTTGTTATCATCAATGAAGAGTCCACAAGCTGAAGGTGTGTCAGATTCAATCATTTTTTGTCACTAATAGAAGAAATAGTGATATATTCTCACATTGGAGAAGCTAAACCAGCACATTTTTTAAAGATATTTGCTTTAAAAATGTCTTAAATTATTTAAAAGAATGTCATTACTGCTGCAGATTAATTTGTTATTAATAGACAAAATGATGAATTGGTTTATCCATTCAGTAAAAGTTGCGGATTCCTGCGCGTTCATCTTTGTAAATGTGTTTCTTTTTACTTTTCTTCATAAAAGCAAATCCCCTTGAATTCAAAAAATTGTCAAAGGACCCTTGACTGTTAAAGTAAAGTTTAACATACTTAACATTGAAGATTTGCACTGTTATTGTACACACACACACACACACACACACACACACACACACACACACACACACACACACACACACACACACACACACACACTGTAGGACATATACATTGCATTTAGCTGACGCTTTCATCCAAAGCGACTTTCAATAAGTACATTCGACCAGGAAGACACAACCTTGAAGAAAACAGAATCATATAAGTACATCAGGTTTCATAGAGCCAAACATTTCAAGTGCTACTCAACTGGCTTTAGATAAGCCAGTCCTTTATTAGTATAAAAGTGCTTCGTTAATAGTTCTAACGCTCGAAGTGGAGTCGAAAGAGATGAGTTTTCAGTTTGGAAGGTGTGTAAGCTATCTGCTGTCCTGATGTCAATGGGGAGCTCATTCCACCATCTTGGAGCCAGGATAGCAAACCCACGTGTTTTTGCTGATGGGAACTTGGGTCCCCCTCGCAGCGAGGGCGCAGCGAGTCGTTTGGCTGATGCAGAGCGTAGTGCACGCGCTGGGGTGTACGGTTTAACCATGTCCTGGATGTACGAAGGGCCAGATCCATTCGCAGCATGGTAAGCAAGTACCAGTGTCTTGAAGTGGATTCTAGCAGTTACCGGAAGCCAGTGAAGGGAGCGGAGGACCGGAGTGGTGTGGGAACATTTAGGAAGGTTGAAGACCAGACGAGCCGCTGCATTCTGGATAAGCTGCAGAGGTCGGATGGCACATGCAGGTAGACCAGCCAGGAGGGAGTTGCAGTAGTCTAGGCGTGAGATGACGAGAGCCTGGACCAGAACCTGCGTCGCTTTCTGTGTCAGCTGGGGACGTATCTTCCTGATGTTGTAAAGCGTGTATCTGCAGCAGCGGGTTGTAGGCAGCTATGTTTGCAGTGAAGGACAGGTTGTTATCTAGGGTCACACCCAGATTCCTTGCAGTCTGAGTCGGGGAAACAACTGAGGTGCCGATGTTGATTGTTAGGTCAAGAGTGGGACAATCTTTTCCCGGAAGGAAGAGCAGCTCAGTCTTGTCAAGGTTGAGCTTGAGGTGATGAGCAGACATCCACTGAGAGATGTCAGCTAGACAAGCAGAGATGCGTGCGACGACCTGGGTCTCTGAGCGGGGAAAGGACAGAATTAATTGGGTGTTGTCAGCGTAGCAGTGGTATGAAAAACCATGCGGGCTAATGACTGATCCGAGTGAGTTTGTGTACAGGGAGAAGAGGAGGGGACCAAGAACAGAGCCCTGAGGGACCCCTGTAGTTAATTGACAAGGGTGGGACTCAGACCCTCTCCAAGTCACCCTGTAGGTACGGTCTTTCAGATATGAGGTGAGGAGGGAAAGTGCAGAGCCTGAAACTCCAAGTTTTTGGAGAGTGCGAAGGAGGATCTGATGATTCACCGTGTCGAATGCAGCAGACGGGTCCAATAGGATGATGACAGAGGAGAGGGATGCAGTTTTGGCAGTGTGCAGTTCCTCCGTGACAGCAATGAGAGCAGTTTCTGTGGAGTGACCTGCCTTGAAACCAGACTGGTGCGGATCCAGAAGGTTGTTCTGATGGAGATAACAGGAGAGTTGTTTAAAGACAGCGCGAGTGATTTAGACAGGAACGGGAGGAGAGAGACAGGCCTGTAGTTTATAACATCAGACGGGTTGAGAGTGGGTTTCTTTAGGAGAGGGTTTACTCTTGCCTCCTTGAGACTGTTTGGAAAGTGACCAGAAGTTAGAGAAGTGTTGATGAAATGGGTGAGAAACGGTAGAATATCAGGAGTGATAGTCTGAAGGAGGTTTGAAGGGATAGGGTCCAGAGGACAGGTGGTAGGGCGGGCAGAGGTAATGAGGGTAAGAACCTCACTTGGAGAGAGAGGGGAAAAGGAGGTCAGTGTGTTGGTGGAAGGAAGGTCTGGTGACCCAGCGGTGAGTAAAGGTGAGTCAGAAAAAGAAGAGCGAATATCATCAACCTTTTTTTCAAAGTGGGTAACAAAGTCGCTTGACAGAAGTGAGGAGGGGGGAGGGGCTTTTGGAGGGTCCAAGAGGGTGGAGAAGATGGAGAATAGTTTTTTAGGATTGGAATAGGAAGATTGGATCTTATCTTGAAAGAAAGTGCTTTTTGCCTGAGAGATCGAAGCAGAGAAAGAGGAGAGGAGAGCCTGATAGGTTAGGATGTCGTCACGGTGTTTGGATTCCCACCGTTTCCGCTCTGCTGCCCGAAGGACGGTTCTATTAGCACGCAGTGCATCATTTAGCCAGGGAGCAGGAGGGGACTGACGAGCCTGCCGAGATGTGAGAGGACAGAGAGAGTCCAGAGTGGATGAGAGAGTAGAGAGGAGAGTTTCTGCAGCAGAGTTTGAAGGCAGGAGTTGGAACGAGTCAGAGGAAGGGAGAGCTGAGAGCACCGATGAGGCAAAGGTAGAGGGGGAGAGGGAACGAAGGTTACGGCGGACAAGTGCAGGATGAGAAGAGATTAGTTTGTTATGTTTGGAAAGGGGTAGAGAGAATGAAATGAAGAAGTGATCGGATGTGTGGTGCGGGTTTACAGAGAGGTAAGAAGTAGCGCAGTTCCTTGAGAATATGAGATCAAGGACATTGCCAGCTTTATGAGTCGGTAGGGACGGAGACAGTGAGAAAGCAATGGCGGTTAACAGGGATGTTAGTTCGTCTATCTTCCCCATCTGGAGGTTGAAGTCTCCGAGAAGTACAGCGGGAGGGCCAGTTTCAGGGATGTGTGAGAGGAGATTATCTAATTCCTCCAAGAAGTCCCCCAAGGCGCCTGGTGGACGGTAGAGAACAACAATGGTTAATTGTATAGGATGGGTTACTGTGACGGCATGGAATTCAAAGGTGGAAGGAGTGAAGTTAGGTAGCTTGAAGAGGGAAAAGCTCCATTTGGGAGAGAGCAGGAGACCAGTGCCACCTCCTCTGCCAGTTGGTCTAGGTGTATGGGAGAAGGAATATGCAGTGGAGAGAGCTGCTGGGGTGGATGTGTTGGATGGAGTAATCCAGGTCTCAGTGAGAGCAAGGAAATCCAGAGACTGCAGGGAGGCGTAGCCAGAGATGAAGTCAGCCTTAGGAACAGCTGACTGGCAATTCCACAGGCCACCTGAAACTAGATGTTGGATCTCAGTGGAGCACGTGGGATAGACGAGAGCAGGCCGGTTATATCGATTAGGAGATACACGGGGCCAGTGATAATTGCGAGAAGACACATGAACAGGAATGGAGAAAATACACATGATTATAGCATGAGGGGCTAGAAAACTAAAGAAAAGAGAAATAAGACACCAGCTCAATCAGAGTAGGATTTGCCTCCCTCGTGACTCCCGTAGGACTCCAATGTCTTTGTCAGTCTTCGGCTGTCTGACGCTCCAGGAAAGAGCTACCTAAAATGGACGCCTGATTGCTGAGTTCTCACAGCTGTAGGGCCACGCCCCTCTAATTAGTTAACTATCTACAGCTGATGGGAGACAGTAGACCGGCCCTGCCTCTATTGTAATGCAGGCTTGAGTGCTGAGACCTGTGCAGCAGGTTTCGCCTGAGCAGATCTGAGATTTAAAATCTCTCAAAAGCGCCGTATTAGCTACAATAACTACAGAACAATTATACAGAGTAGAATAAATGAAACAGAGAAGTCTAATTAAACAAGAATATAACTTACAGTGGTTGCTGCGTCAATAGGTAAAATCTTCACCCGGTCCAGATGCACAGATTAGGTCTGGAAACAGATTTGCACAAACACATGCATTTTATTTGTAGAGAGGTGCCAGAGCAAAGAGGCTGCCAGGTACTTCAGTGGGACTTTATATATATATATATATATATATGGTCGCTTTGATGTCCTTTTGTGACCCACATCAAATAAAACTGTCTTATCAATCCATCAGGGGCACACAAACAAATCACAGCTGCTAACATGTAGCTTTGAGTGTTCACTTTGTCCACCAGTTTGGCTCTCCTGAAAGATTTAAGACACTCTTGTACAAACTCTGACTGACAGCGAACACCTTCTTCTGCATCTGAACCAGCAACCATCGCCTATAGTTGTGTAACTGCTCACATACATTTGAGTTTTGACGAGGCTTAAAACATCCAGCTGTTTTTTGTTTTGTTTTACCTGAGCCTTGGTACTTTTTATACGTTCGGAATCAAATTACAATGTTATTTTTTACTGTCTGGAATTAGCAGCCATCTGTTAACTGTAGATATGTTGATCGTTATTGTCAGGTTGCAACATCAGCGGCATCTAAATGATCAGTTGTTAAAGTATGAACACACACACCTAGTTTCACTCTCTGTGAGTTAGCAGACAGTTTGAAATAATCCAAAATCAAGCCAAGAGGAATTATGAGAACATGGGGACCGAACAGGTTGAGAATCAGAGCGTTACCTTGATCCTCTCATTGTTTCCCTCCTCGCTCTGCCACCCTGCGTCTGCTCACTCTGGGCGGGCCCTGCTACTCCCACATTATTCTCCTCCCCCATCCTCACCTTCAAACCCTCAGCGAACATCACCTCCGTCTGCCAGTCAGCAGCTGGGAGTCACCGACTTCAAAGCCCAGGATATGAATAATCATCCTGTTATTTTTAGCTGTTCATGTTACTGACCTGACTTCATGATCTTCTCTCCCTCCCTCCCTCCTCTCCCTCCCTCCCTTCCTCTCCATCTCCCTGCAGATTGCTGATTTGTACAAGAAGCAGCAGCAGATCCAGAACCAGGGGGAGAAGGGCGATCTGGAGGACTACTACTGATCACCTGTGGGAATAATAAATGATGCCAATTTCAGAAATAATTGTAAATAGCTTTCTTTTTGTAATGTCGAATGAAAATAAAGGCTGTTGCCAGTTTTAAGCACGCTGTCATTTGTTATATTGATTAATCAAAGCGGCTGCCTTTCAGAGACGAAATTGCGTAAACATAAATTCCCAAAACTCATATCGACTCAGCAGTTATGCTACCTGCTGGTAATAGATCGCCAGCAAAACATGCAACGGACGGGCTGCATACCAATACTTTGAGCCGGGCCCCGATTTTCTGCTCATAAGGCGGCGGCAAACGGCGTTCATCGTGTCGGTAACGAGAGGACGAGCCAAGGAGATCGCAGGCCGCCTGAAAACGTTATTAGAAGTCGAAAAAAAGGCGCCGGAGCTGACAGATTCTCTAACAGCAGGACAAAAGAGAAGCACTCACAGCTTGCATTAGATGATGGAAATCCACTAACTGTCCAGCCTGAATCAATCAGAGACTGTTAGAGATGTGGGGTGGGTGGGGGGGGGGGGGTCAGTTCGAGAGCCAAGGACGGGCGCTTGTTAAACGGAGAAGCAGAGGATTGTGAGCGTTGAGTCTGCATAGTGATGCCGTGTGAGGGGATGCGAGTGTGCTCCACACCGTGATTGAGCCACTTAATGTGTTTGTGCTTTTGTCAGCGATGTGTTGCAGTGAATGCCAAGTTAAGTGATTATGCAGGACATATTTTGTTGCATCGTACAGGAGCAACAGAGCTGCAATGAAAACACAAAGAAGTGCAAACTCTTCATATGGCTGCAGATACAGTAGATTTAAAGGTCTCCTATCATACTGTTTTTCATCAATATATTACAGGTCTCAGATATATACAAACATGTCTCTGAAGTGTTTGGCTCCAAACACCAAACAGATCATTGCAGCATTACCCATAATCCCCTCTGTTTCAGCCCTGTTTCAAAAGTGCTGATTCTCTGTCTGTTACTTTAGATGAAAACAAGGAGCCCCTCCCCACGCCCCTCTGAGAGACATTTGGTTAAAAATAACACAATAGCCACTTTCACACCAAGTGTGTGCCGTACTTAGTGCCCAGCACTTAGTGCCAGCACTTAGTACCAGCACTTAGTGCCAGCAATTAGTACCAGCACTTAGTACCCCCATGGATCTAAGTACAGATCGGGACTGCTGGGACTCCCAGCAGCTTCTACTGAAGCCTTCCGAGTAAATCGCCAGAACGCCGACACCTCCTCATCTCCACCGCTCCCATGTTTTTTTTTGTGTTGCCATAAGTTAGTCTCTCTCCGTTGGTGCGCTGGGCTAATGCTAATGCTAATGCCAGCAAATACAATGGCGGCTTCACAAAACTTTTCAGAGTTTTACGGGGCGTGGTTTGCAATTCGCCCAGCCAATAGAAATTGGTACTTTTTTCTCCCCAGGATGGTACCACCTATCAGCAGGCACTACAAATGGGGCGTAAAAGTTCCCGGCACTAAGTACTCTTTTTGGTGTGAACGCAAAATTCCAGGCACTATCGGAACTAAACGGGAAAAGTACTCCGGTGTGGAGGGGGGGGGGGGGGGGGTTACCTTGGTTGGTGATTGGCTAATGGTTACACAAGCCAAAAAATCCTTATGACATAAAGTGGCCAAAATCTGATCAGCTCATTTTCAGACAGGTTTTTATATAAATGGATCAGGACAAACAGAGAGAGAATCTTTTTTCCTGAAACTTTCAGAATCTCTTTCCACAGATGTTGATGTAGAAAAGACATGAACAAGTGGATTTTGCACAATAGGTGTTCTTTTAAATTATTTTGAGTGGTGCCACACTATCTGTGGAAGGAAAGGTAAGAACTATCTTCACGTATTCTAAAATGTGTACCGACACTTCCCAGTGGAAGAACCCTACTGATTTTCCTGTAGCGAGTGGCTTTGAGGGAAATCTGTTGAAGATTATCAGAAAGATTGAGCTATTTTACATTAATTTCCCTCGGGATGAATTTGAATGTCTTTATTGATCCTCGGATTTATGTGACTTGAATAAAAACTAAGGGACAGTTCACCCCAAAATCAAAAACAGACATTCTTCCTCTTACCCTTAGTGCTATTCATCAATCTAAATGACTTTGTTGTGAGTGTCGGAGATATCAGCCTTAGGGATGTCTGCCTTCTCTGCAATAACATGGAACTAGATGGCACTCTGCTCCTGATGCTCAAAGCGGCAAGAAAATACATTTGTTAACTCAACAACAATGTCTCAGTGGTTCGTGTAGGAACAATTTTCATCCTACTGTATTTCGGCACAGAAGGGAGCATGGAACTAAATGTTACTGGTGATGGAGAGAAGTGAAAGATGGCTACTGGTGATGGAGAGAAATGTAAGCATTAATGGCGTCCTTCCTGGCAGAGTTGTGTTACTTACTAACTGAAAAGATCCTCCGATACATGAGAAGATGCACACTTCCTTGTGCGCTGCGATTCTGTTGAAAGAAAATAGTTCCTACATGAAAAGCATCTCAAGAAAAAGGCAGGATGGAGACAGGAGGGTATGATTCCGGGTGTTTACTTACAATACAATCTTCTCTTTATGAAGTTACAGACATAACGTAACCTTACATCGTTCACTGATTGACACTGAATCTGTTCCTTGGACAGTTGGGTCATCATGGTCTGCTCCCCATGTTTTTACAGTTCTTGGAATATGCATTGGTGTAGGTTCAAGGTTCAAGGCGTTTATTAGTCATACATACAGCCACAGTAGTTGAGACGATGAAACTCTTAGGTCACAGGCTCCTCCAACAGTGCAACACAAGTAAATACAAAAAGAAAATTAGTGAAATAGTGCAATAAGGGTCCATATGAAAGTGATTGGAATGTGATATATTAGATACATCATTTGTATACATGCAGAAGTCCAACATGAGGAAACCACTAAGATACTCTTGTTCACTTGACACCATTTAATACAAGGACATACAGTACATTCATAATATACCATAAAGTCTGGATTATCTTGATTTACCGCTTCATGGTTTTAAGCTAAGAGACATTGCTGTTGAGTTTTACAAAAGTATTTATTTGGCGGTCTTCAAGCTGAGCATCATCTAGATCCATTATATTAAAAGGACAACTCACACAAAAACAATCTAGACTGATGAATGGCATTACAAAGATTGTCTGTCCCAGTTCAATCAAGGTTAGCATCTCAATCCAAGCACCATATACTTTACCCTAAAAGGCAACACCAAAATAATCTAGACTGATGAATGGCATTACAGGGGAGAGGAAAATGTATTTGTTTTTATGGTCAACTGTCCTTTTTAACTACACAGAGCCAAAAGGATGGTTGTTTTCGTGAACTAGGTGATCATAAATGCATAGCTCCAGCTGAGCAGCGGGGAGTTGTGCTGAACACGATGAGATGCAGGAAATAAATTACAAGCGTCGGTAAGCCGGCATTCTTCCGGCTGCAAGAAGGCATTCATCAAGTGTGCAATTGAACAGCAGCGGCTGGTCTGCAGGATCATTTGCATGTACATGTTCGCCCGTTCTGTGGTGACTCGCACTGTATGTGGCATGTCACTGTTGTCTCATGCAGAGTGGGTTGTATTTCCTATACTGGAGTGCTTATGAGGTCAAGATGTGTTGTGCTATGTCGGCATGCGAGTATGCATACTGCACGGCTGGTGGTTTGCCTATTATTTGTGTGGGCTGTGTCTTGTGTCTGCAGAATGGGAGTTTGAGAAGGACACCATTGTGGTAGGATAATCATGGAAATGCCAAATCCAGAGCTGCCTTCCCTCTCTATCTGCCACTGTTGTTTATCTGTACCATACTCATATTTTCTTCCATTTACTACCTTCCCCTAGTGAAGATTTAAAGGTGTTTTTTCCTCACAGTTTGCTCTTGAAATATATTCGCCTCCTGCGCGCTACTTCGGCTACATCTGACACTTATATTGTAATATCTTCATCACATCTCGTCAATTTCTTTAATAGAAACAAGGGACCTGCTGGTGTTGCTAAAATTTGAAATTCAAATAGCACTTGTCAGCTGTACTTTTGCTTTAGAAGTTGGCGTGAGGAATGGGAAAAAAAGACCCTAATGGAAAGCAACCAGGCGGCAGAGCATGAAGTATTGAGAAATGCAAATATGTCATAAATTCAATTCCATTCTGTGTTGCATGATCCCGGCTTTTGTTGGGAATTACTGTGAGGGTTGACTCGCTGTTTGTCTGATTGTGTTAGTGGAGGGGGGGTCTTTGTGTACCTTTATGTTGTTGTGTTGATAGATATAGAGAATGCAAACTTAGTCTCCATTTCTTCTTTTGTCCATTTTTGAATGAATTCGATTTTATAACCAATATTTAGATTTTCTGTCACTAAACCTTTAAGAGCTAACTGCATGGCTGTAGACGGGTTTTATAGAAAGAAAAACAACTGCTATAGTCTTGATTATTTCCAGTGTAGGGGTCATGACTTGAAGAGACATTGCTGTTGAGTTTTACAAATGTATTGTTTTTGTTTGAATTAAGTCATTTTTATAATCAATATTTAGATGTTCTGTCCCTTTTTAACTAAAGCCTTAAAGAGCCAAATGCATGGCTGTAGACTTAAAGAAATACGTCTGCTATAGTCTTGATTATTTCCAGTCATCCTTCTTGTGACGAGACCATGCTGTTGAGTTTTTGGCTGTGTGTTTGTAGTAAGTGCTGCAAGCGTACAAATTACTGTCTCCATTTCCTCTTTTGTCCATGTTTGAATGAAGTTGTTTTTATCATCTCTGAAAGTGCGCGCCTGGTTAACTGCCCGTGCCTGTGTGTCTGTGTGTGTGTGTGTGTGTGTGTGTGTGTGTGATGTTTACTGAAGGGGGCAGCTGGCTCATATCACACGCCTGCGGAGCAGCACAGTGGCCTCCATCGCCAGCGAGGTCCTGGCCGTGTTCTAACATCTGTGCTGTTAGTTCACATCAAGTCACCCGTTCACTCGGGTCCCGGGGGGGGGGGGGAGTCACATTTGCAAACCTACCTGCTCCCCCTCTGTTGATGTGCCTCGCTACGTGTTAAGAAGCCACCGGGGGCTTTGCTGCGTGGAGCGTGCTTTATATAAAATG